ATTTTTCATAAAGTGTCCCTAGTAATGTTTGTATATCTTAAGTCCTATCATATCTTTCCTTTCTCTCTCATCTTCCAATGACATCTCAAGGCTGTCTTTTCAGAGAAATGAACAGCCCAAACTTTTACGCCCTTGCGTTCTGTGGCCATTGAGTTATAGTTGCTACTGCGAGCAACAGTAAGTAGGGTTGGGGACAGAAATCCAGGTTGCAATAAGGACACATGTGTATCAGAATGTTTGGTTCGCTGCCTACAGAAATCTTGGAAGTAAGAGACAAAATGTGCAAGAAGCCCAAAATTGGTGATGAGGACTTTCCTCCTCCAAACCTACAGTTACTTCTTTTCTTAAGCACACTGTAAATTATTCCGGATCATTATGAAATCCTTCAAGAGCATGAAGGATCTGCCCTTTGGCTTTATTATAACCTCACTTTTATGCCTCTACACATTGAAGTCACATCTTATTGTCGTTTTTATGTTAAGTGAGATGTTTCCTCAGGGCCCTTTCTCTTGTTCCCTTTGCCTAAACTCTCTCTGTTGGCATAGCTTCATCCTTGGTCCATTCGTGGGTCTGATGAAATGTCACTTGCTGAGGAAAAGGTTCTTATCTATCCTATCCATCACTAACCTGTCAATTTTTCATCCTGTGGTGGTTTGCCTGTAATAATCATGCTGGAAGCTTTGCCACAGTACATCAAATAACAAAAATATCACCTACATGGACCGGTTTCACCAGCACTTCCAGTCTAAGATAGACTAGAAAAAAAGGCCTGGCAATCTATTTAGAAATTAGCTAATGGAAACCGAATGGATCACAACAGAATATTGTCTGATCAGTGCTAAAAGATTAGCTCTCTACCTTTATAGATTGGAAAGTATTCAAAATACAAGGTGGGCACAACACTATTATCAAACATACCAATAGTCATGAAGATGGCATAGTACTGGGCAATGTCTTGTTCTGTTGTTCATGTGATTAGTAAGCGTCCTAACCAACTTGAAGGCAACAATAACATCCACCCTTTCCAAAGATATCCCCAATGTCATTCTCTGTTGTCTTGTCTCCTCTGATTTTATTATTCAAGCTAAATATTAATGCTTGACATTATACATGATATGTATATATACTTTAATTCACTGTATTTAAATGTGAATAAAATTTAATGACAGTACAAGTGAACCTAGATGTTGTAAGAGAATTTGCAGAACCCTCTGAAAAATCAATTAAATGTATGTTGATATCCTTGAAAAATTTTATACCTGTGTGGTAATTAAGGACAAATATATTCAAGTAGTTTAAGTTCAAATATATTCAAATTGTTATAACAAAATTATTTTCATTGAAGCATGATTTATTATTTAGAAATTTGAGCTCAATATAAATATTCAATATCCAGAGTGGCTAGTTAATTCTGACATAATAAATGTATAGAAAGAAGAAAATATTTTCTTCCTCTCCTTCTTCACGTGTTTCCCCACAACCCCAGTGACTTCACGTTCACAATCTTGAGGAGCCATCTAGCAAAAGAGTCCAGAAGTACCATCCACAGGCTATCCCCCTGGAGCTTTAGCACAGGGTACTTTAAGTAAATGAAGATCTGAAAAACAAAAGATAGTCTCTAAACTAAAGCTTTCAAGACAAGCTACATATTCCCAAAGTCTAATACAGTGAGAATTTGATAGAAACTGTTCAAACAAACATATGCGTATAAAAGGTTCATAAATATTTGGCTGCAAGATAGTAAGATTGTCTCAATTTTGTTCCATGTTTTATCATAGAGTCTGGTATATAGCATGTATTCAATAAAAATTTGAAGACTTCATAGAATTTTGAAGCAGTATTTTGTTCGCATGGTTATATTATTTTTGTTTTGTTTGTTTTTAGATTTTCTTTGGCAATCAAACTGTTAACTTTTAAAATAAAAGCAAACATTTATATCTTAATTGAAAGAGAACAATCAGTAATTGAAGGAAGAGTGATGGAAATACAGATATGAAGGGCGCAGTCTCAGTCTGAGTTGTGACCCAAATACACATTCATACTGTCATCTTTGTCTTGCCAGTTGAACTCTGAGGTTCAGATTCTATAAATGTAAAAGATGGAAGAGCAGTAAAATGTCACTACAAGTTTTCATTAAAATTATTAGGGTATATACACACATACATACAGAGAGATAAAGTGGCAAAAGTTATATATAGTCTAACACATAATTGATAATATTTCAGTACTAATGATGAGACATAAAATAGTTACTAATTTTGGTTAAGATTTTAATACACATTGAGTTTAAATATAAAATATTAGGAAAAAACATGAAAAGGAATTTTAAAAGTACAATGCATACAGCTATTAGTTTCTTTGAACTTCTTAATTGTATTATTTTTCAATATCCCAGAAGGGATTTATCAACAAAAACTTTCAGTCACAGCCCAGCTGGGCAGAGAAAAACTAAGGGTGATGTAATTTCCCTGCTTCTCTTTACAAACTTATCCATGACCACACTCCACTCACTCACCAGGATGAGGCTTACATATCATCTGATGGTGATTCAAACAGGCTTGTAGACAGAACTGGAGGAGCAAAGGGTAACTAATGTCCTCAAATGGTTTTACTCTGATGCCTCCTACTTTCTTCACAATATTACTTCAAAATCTTCCTATTTTTTATAATCTATTTTTATGAAAAAAGCAAATGTGTTTTCTTCTGAATATTTATTAAATGCTTACTTACTATAATATATAAAATAGATTTTAAATTTCCAATAATTTATAGATGAAATAACATCTATTTATCCTATATTTGGGGAGAGATTTCAGAGTAAAATTTTACAGAGAAAAGAGACTGATTTTAGTTTCACTGGAAATTATGAGTGATAGCCTGAAAACACTAAAACACATATTTGAATTATATATTTTTTCTGATTAATTTAACAGTTTGTTTTCTAAAAGTCAAATTGAAGAACTTTGGAGAGTAGAAACGGTTTCCTCAGAGCCCTGAGGCTGACGAGGTACAGGCTCTGGGCCCTGTATCAGGGTTAAATTATGGGTCTGCTCTGCAGCCACTTGTGTGATCATATAGTACCTGAATTTTCTATTTTGCAAACTTAGAAAATAAGGTTTCCATTGGTTCTAGTGGATTATTATGTATGAAAGTACTAGATGTAGCGATCTTCAAATAAAGCTTTTGTATTGCTCTGCCACCATTATCAATGGTTTCCAAAATTAAATATGTACTACACTTTTGGCATTAAAACCAAGCCGTAGGATTGAGAAGAGTAAGATTGAAAAGAATGATGAAGGATGAAGACGCAGTGTTCTTTCATTTATCTGCTGTCCCAGGTGGACCATTTAATACAATATAATACCGGAGACCCATTTACAACCTACACGAGAGATTTACTACTGTCCGTGTCCTGACTGTCTGCGCTCCCTCCACCCCACTGTTCCATTATACTCTGAGGGCTTCATGAGAGCCATTCTTTGCAATAATTCTTGCTTAATTTTGACTGAACATACAGATTAGATCAGCAGGTATGTTTTGCATTCTACATAAGTGTTTTGAACATTTGTATATAACTCAGTTTCCATCTTTGTGGGGTGTGTGATGAATTTGATAGATTATACTTGTGTTTATGCAATGTGTCCATGATATTTGGATACTTACATCAACTCTGGTTGCAGCATTGCCTACAACACACCAGAATTTAGACATCCAGTATGTTGAATATCAAAAGTAGCTTATGGAAGTATTGGAAGTCTAAAAAAGTATTTGAAACTGTTATTAATAGTTGTACTAACATCTATTTATGAAAGATCTTTTTGAAAGATCTCCCCATTGTAACCACTTTTTAAGTCTTCCCATCAAGAGGCTCTTATTATTAATTCTGTCTTTCAGGAAAGTGCTTTTAAAGTTCATACCTTTAGGAAGTGAAACGTTCAAATGTTTTTGTTTTTGTTTTTCGTTCAAATGTTTAAACTCCTTGAGAAAAAATGTGTAGCAAACTATTAATAATAATTCATTTCAGTCAGACCAGGGGTGTTTTGAGTCTACTTGTTGTGTTGCTTTTCCTTATGTGTAGTTTGTGTTCAGAGGTTTTGGAATTAGAGGCATTTTAGTGTCTTTCAGTTTCTCTCTCTGCATCTCAGTTTCCATGAAAGATTGGTTGTGAGGATTAATAAAACTAAAAAAGTTTATGACAGCTATTAATGCCATCTGGTAAATGTTAGTGACCTTCTTTATGCTAGTTCTTTGCTTTCACCAGAAACTTAGAGCAAGTAGTGGGACAGGATGGAGATAAATTTCATCTTGGTGATACATGTAATGGACAGAAAATTGATGGATTTTTCATAAAGGTCCACTTCAGCAAGGGGGAAAATAAAATAAGTGAACTACAAAAAGAGCAGATCATTTTTGTCATTATTTTAGTTGATTTATCCCTCACCACACATTAAGGTCAAACTTTATTTTTATCCTTTGTGGGAAATGGACAAGGGAATGAAGGTTTAGAGAGGAAGCAGAATCTAATGCCACAATTTGCCTGCAGATTTTAAGGCCTTTGTTCTCTCTCCGGAGAACAGCCAAACCATGAGAATGTTAGGATACCAGCTTGGTCTCCAAACTCGAGAAGTTAATTCAATTCTGAATGCCATAACAATCACTCTGGAAAGAAGGAAGTCAATTTCTGTGTCCCTCCCTCTTTCCTTTACATGTAGTGTTTCCCTCTGGGGGGCACTTTTTCAAGTCCCCATTATATGTTTATACAGGGAACCTTCACCAGTGGCAACTTCATTATAAGTTGCAAATTCTTTCAACACACAAATCGGAGTTCACTTATTTTCTGGTACATTTGATTAATTACAAGTGATTTATAATCCTCAGAAGTTCTACAGTCCATGGGATTTTCTCCAGTTAGCACAATTGGGTTATGGTGTAACTGGTAAGAACATGTGAGTGATCTGTGAAACCAAAGATCTCCTTGATACCCTAGGTGAGACATGGACATGGACAACACCCCATGGCTGACCAACCACACTGGAGGTTCCAATTTCATCCTGTTGGGATTCTTCCATCTATCGAAAGACCCAATTTTCCTTTGTGTGGTAATTTTTGTGATTTTCCTAATGGCCCTTTCTGGAAACTCCATCTTGATCTTCCTGATACACTCCAATGCCCACCTCCACACTCCCATGTACTTTTTCATCAGCCAGTTGTCTCTTATGGATGTGATGTACATTTCTGTTACTGTGCCCAAGATGCTCATGGACCAGATCACGGGTGCCCAAAAGATCTCAGTGCCTGAATGTGGGACACAGATGTTCCTCTACTTGACACTAGGAGGATCAGAATTTTTCCTTCTAGCTGCCATGGCCTATGATCGGTACATGGCCATCTGCCATCCCCTCCGCTACCCAGTTCTTATGAACCGCAGGGTATGTCTCCTCCTGGCAGCTGGTTGCTGGTTCTTGGGCTCAGTGGATGGCTTCATGCTCACTCCCATCACCATGACCTTTCCCTTTTGCAGATCCAGGGAGATACAGCACTTCTTCTGTGAGGTCCCTGCCTTAATGAAGCTCTCCTGCTCCGACATGTCACTCATTGAGACACTCATGTATCTGTGCTGTGTGCTCATGATCTTTATCCCCGTGATAGTCATTTCCAGCTCCTACTCTTTGATCCTCATCACCATCCACAGGATGAAGTCTGCAGAGGGCCGGAAGAAGGCCTTCGCCACCTGTTCCTCCCACATGACTGTGGTCACCCTATTCTATGGGACTGCAAGCTACACCTACATGATCCCCATCTCCTACCACAATCCGGAAAAGGACATGGTAGTATCTTTCTTCTACACCATCCTCACTCCTGTACTAAACCCTTTAATCTATAGTTTTAGGAATAAAGATGTCACTGGGGCTCTGAAAAAAAGGTTGAATGTGGGGCCTTTCTTTCAAGAAGCTACCAAGTAGTGGATTTTGGTAGTAAATGTCTTTCCATGCTTTCTACCATTACAATTTTAGGATCTTATGCCTATGTTATTCCTGACATATCACAGTGCCTCATCTCATCCCTCCTCTTCTCTACTTTTTAGGTAATTAGTCCCCCCACATTGTCTTATTATTGTGTAGAAGACTATGCATATTCATAGGAAACATGGAATAAAACTATTTAGAAGTAAAAGTCAAATTGACTCTCCAAAAAGAGAGGCATGGAAATAGTGAAGCAAAATGAAAACAGTAATAATAGATGAGCCTAAGTAAGGGCTATATGAGTGTTCCTTGCGTTGTTCTTCATCGTGTTTTCCTATGTATTTGAAATTCATTTCTTAGACAAAATGAACCTGTAACAAATTAATTCTTAGTTATAGCAGCCTTATAGGGCAGAAGGAAATGATCTCTTAGGCTTGCCAGTGATGTACATTGTTATAGAAGTCACTGGGCACAAAATTCGCCCACAATGGAATGTTAGAACTGCTCACTTTTTGATTAGCGGGTGAGTGGTTAATCACTACACTTCCCAAATTGGCTCAGCCCACTGTCCTTGAGTGGAATCTGACTCATAGTGCCCATATAGGAGGAGCAGAATTGCCCCATAATGGTTTGAATGTTTAAAATATAGGGAAGCAGCTGTCTCTATCTTTTCCCCAAAAAACAGATGAAGGGTTTGAACTGCTGGCATTTAGGTGAGCAGGCTGGAACTTTAACCACTGCATCACCGGGATGCCATCAATTAGTTAAAATGTCAGCCCTTGCTTGCCAAACACCTATCTTAAAACAATTCTATTATGGTAGAAACATGCTAAATTACTTTAGAAAGCATGTCCACTTATGCACAAAAATTGTTACTAAATATATTTGGTAATAAATATATCTGCATACATTAAGTGAGGGCTTAATTTAGCCACTCTTAAGATACATAGTGGGTATTTATTAATTGGAACTTTTAGTACTGCCTGATAAACTTAGAATAAAAAGCTCAATAATCCTATTGAATACATATTAACCAAGAGTGGAAGGATGATTTAGGGAAGGTTCCTTGGATGGAGTAACATCTGAATTGCGTTTTGAAATGTGTAATTTGCTAAACAAAGAAGAAGAGGTGAGACATCAACTGTTTAATTTTTAATTTATTCAGCTAACATTTTTATGCTACACTCTAACCCCAAGTCATAGTTAACTGAGATTAAAATCTAAGCCATGCATGGCTGCTGTCCTCAGTTACAGTTGGTACAGTTGTATAAGCAGATAGGTGCAAAGAAATATATAAACCCCTTTGTTCACAAAGAATACAGCTCAGAGCAACACGTCTGGTCAGCCTATGACATGTAGTTTTGCTCAAAACAAAGATGACTGAGAAAAGACCCTGTAACTGAATTTGAACCTCCCAACTGAGTAGGGGAAGTTTTGGAACCTGGTGGTGGGTGTGCTTAGGGACGTGATGTCAGGGAACAGGTGTAACTGGAACAAAGATTAGAGAAGTGACCAGCAGGAATCCTTCCCTGCTCCACTTCTTGCTCTTCTATGGCCTAATGTTTTACAAATAGTAGTGAATTCATTTGATTTTCATTTTGGAAATGTCACATTGGTGTTGATGAATTGCAGGGGTGCACAAATGGAGGCAGGGAGATGAGGTGAGTGTGATGGTGAATGGAATGAAATTGATAAAATTGTGGCCAAGCCTTAACATGAGGGATTGAGGGGGCAGATATCCAGGGTAAGTGGGTCTTGATGAATGTCGTCAATAAAATCATGTTTGTATGTGTACCAGTCTACAGTTGATGGTATCCAACTTGTGAAGGAATTTTTAAGAATTAGATTTCCTTTTCCCACGCATATGCCCAATTATTTAATGACTAACATAAGTATCTATTGTTTAGGGAGAGATATTGCAAAGTCAATTTCAAATATGTAGTTTTGCAATCAAACTGATTAAAATATGCACACCTTCTAGCTGTTGAAAAATGACACATGTATGTTTGTCCCCTCAGTTTGATGGACAATAGCAATAAACACATCTGATGGTTCCATTTAAAAATCTCTGAAAATAAAGAGAAAGTCAAATTACTTTGGGAAGGAGTAAGAATATATTCTTATATATTCTTCCAAAGATGAATTTTTGACAGCGTCTTAACCCCCCAAAATTGAAATAGAAATCTTTTTAGAAGTGCTATCTTGTTAGATAAAAATACTAAGGTGAAAGAAAACAAAATGGAGTGAAAAATAAAACCACAGTGTACATGGGATTCCTGCTCCTCCAGTAGTGTCATTGTGTGTACATGTCGGCTGCATTGCAGATGAGGGGGGCATGGGGGAGGGGTACAGGTGAGGAAAGCCAGAAAAGAGAAACATTAAAAATGGTATTTGCTAACCACGCTGGGCTCCCAGAGGTTAGCGTGGTAAGATATTTGACCGTATAGGCTGACTCAGTGATCAGGAAGAATGAGTTTTCAGGATGGGGTGGTGTGAGGGTTGTGTGGCTGGGCCACAAATGCAGCTTCTGCTGCTTGCCAATGGTCAGTGGTGAAAGAGAGTCAGTCACTCAGCGAGCAATGTCTATCCCACCTTCAAGAACATTTCATCTACCTAGTCTTTATGTTATTTTCCTGGCTTTAAGGGAGCACAGGACTTCCCTCTTGGTGGAACTTCTTTGGTATTTGCGGAGGAGATCTGCCCTTGCTTGTCCTCTGGAGCCATACTCTCATATCCCTCCTCAAATCTATTTTTGAGTCTCCACATAGATTCAGCTTCTACTGAGTTGGTTTTTTTTGTTTTTTTTTTGCACTGTTTACCAACAAAGTAAAAAGCTTTTCTCTCAGGCAATATGTGGTTGGAAGTGGATTTCTACCACTCCCCCAGACAGCCTACAGAGAGCTTTAAGCCCATTTTTCAGTCTGGGCATAAATGTACTTTCCCTTTAAGTTCTCATCATTAACCAGCAATGTAGTAGAAGCTTTGCTCTCAGAAAGTATGTGTGTGAACATACCGTAGATATGCGTGCATAAGCTGAGTTTTTCAGCACATTTTAAATGCAGTTTTTGTGGCAGAATTAGGTGCCTCAACTGATATTCGGGTTAGCTTATACTCGAGTATATATGGCAGATTATCGCTCTCCCAGTCAGCTTATGGAGGGCTATGGATATACCCTTGATGGAAATCAAGGTATCTACCCAAAGGTCATGAATCATAGCCTAACCATCAAGCGTTCATCAGAGGACCTCAGAACCAAGCCCAGAGACTTCTATTCTGCATTTTTGTCATTTTGTCATTTTCCCGTCATGGTCATTTCTCTGGTTATATTACTGACTGTGATCTCCTGTCAATCATCGTTTTGTGAAAATTGTCTGTGTTTTCTATTAGTAGTATAACCATGAATCCTTATATGGCTCTATGGATTGTCTCCCTCATTTGAGTGATTTGTTCCTATCTTGTCTTTTTCTCTTCCAAGAGTCAACACAGAACTATGTATACAAATATTCATAGTAGCATTATTTCTTAATAGCTATAAACAAAAATCAATCTATGTGCTTTTCAACATATAGTTAAAGTGGTGCACATATGAATGCTACTTCACAAAAAGAAACAAATTATGAATGCATTCACCAATTTGGATAAAAATTCAGGGGTTATGTTGAATGGGAAAAAATGCCAATACCAAAAGGTTACTTGAAACATAACTCTACTTATGTAACATATTTTAAATGGTAGAATTTTATAAATGAAGGCTATATTACTGGTTGCCTGAGATTAAGTTTGGTAAATGGGCACCAAGCAGATGTGACTATAAATGGGAAACACAAGGATTCCTTTCACATTGGAGCATTTTGGTATCTTGATTGTAAATTTTTAATTCACACAGAATCTTTTTCATGGTCTTGGATTCCAGAGTTACTATGTTGACCTCTACTTTCCATCCTTATCCACCCCAACACTGACTCCAATACAATAGGTGCCTTCCTCACATGAATCTTAGAACAAAGTTCTCAAAAATAATCAATTCCTGCATCTTGAAAATAGCTCCATATTTGAGCCCTGTATTATTCCAAAGCCTTTTAATATGTTGTTTCTATAGTGTCTATCCTAAGACAAGCTGTTACAAAATAAATTTGCCTAAAAGAGAAATTATTAAAAGAGAGGATGCCTTATATATGTGCGTGTGTGTGTGTGTGTGTGTGTGTTAGTGTTAGTGTGTGTGTATGAAAGTTTTCAGTGAGGCCTCCTAAAATCACTTTCGCAACAAGAATCCCTTCCCCCATACCACTATTGAGATGATCCTTCCTGTATATGAGAAAGTTACATGAAAGTGTGAATCTGGAATATCCAGGGGCAAAAACCCCAGATATGGTGTCTCTTGACTATCAAGATTGCTCCTTCTAAACTCAAAAGAATCCCCTTACCACCTGAAGGAAGGGGAGGGGCTTAGAGACCTCTACCTTGTTGTGTATCATAAATAAAGTACACTGTACCCAAAAAGAAAAAATAAAGAATCCCCTTTGCCTTCTGGGTCAAGGAACCTGCCATTGCTAAATTCCATAAGAGCTAAATTCACCACAAAAATCTATTAATAACCATTCTAGAATAATAAAGCATGTATCAAATTATTTAAAAAATAATAATAATTCAGAATTGTTTTTCCTTAAAGGAATGTTCAAGCACATTGTTCTCATTGTTACAACAATATAAAACAGCTCATTTTTGTCTGTAGTCACCTACAATTTTTAGGCCTTGGTAGAAAGTTATTTTTCTCTTTTTAAATATGAAGATCATATATAGAAGTAAATACGATGCCCCAACAGCAGAGAGAAATGCATGTCAACAGCAGTGGCAAGAGCAGAGGTTGAAGCTTCCCATTTCCCCCCTGTGTTAGTCGGGGTAGACTAGAGAAACAAATTCATTGGCACTCATACATGTATAGGAAACAATTTTATATCAAGAAGTAATTGTATATCAAGAAAACATAGAAGACCAGTCCA